GGCCTTGTTTTCGAGACGCTGCTGCAACAACGACGAGCGATGCAGCAAGTGAGGACTCAACAAGCAACCTAGTCTTTGGTAGGCTTGCCCCGGCACGGAATCCAAAATCACGCCAGCTTGACATCAGAAACTAGGTGACAGGCCTCGAGAAAAGAGAACTTCGACCTTAGGCAGTCTCACTTGCAGCCATGGTGAAAGGCAGGGCGGAGCCGGCTGTGATCTACTCTAGGGTGTCTTCCAAGGCCAACGAGCACAGCGCGAGTGTGACACGGCAGCAACAGGCGTGCAAGGATGTGTGCAACCGCATGCGATGGGACGTCGTGGACAGCGTCGCGGAAGTCGTTAGCGGCTCGCTGCCGAAAAATCAACGACATGTCTTTTGCCAGCTCCTACGGACGTGCAAGAAGAAAGGGATCAAGAACATCGTTGTAGAGGGCTCTCGCACCGTAGCCCGCACTGCTAGCACAGCAGAAGAGTTCTACGAGATGTGCACGGAGGCAGGGATCAAAATCACTGCAGCAGACCTTCCAATGCTCTTCGAAGACAGCACAGGCAACCCCGCGCAGCGCTTCATGAGGCACGTGCTGTTCGGCTACGTTCAGCTGGAGCGGGACATGCTCGTACATCGCCTGCAAGATGGCTTGGCACGAAAGAAGCGAAAAGCTGTGGACGCTAGCAAGAAGGGCCAGCATCTTCCAAGATCACAGAAAGGCTCAGTCAAGGTGAATGGAAGACGGTCCATATTAGAAGAGAAGCAGCTGAGCAAAAGCCAGATTCGGAAAAAGCTGGGTGGCCTCTTTCAGCAGTACGGCAACGGCCTTCTCAGCGTACGGGACCTGGCGACAAAGATTTCGGAGCGACTGGGATGCAAGAAGACTATCTCTCACGAGACAGCCCGTCGCATGTACCATGCAAATGCGGAGTGACTATCTCTCAAAGCTCGGCTGCTACAAAGCAATGGCTTGACGTTCCTGAAATCTGAAACACAGCCTTGCTGGCCTCGGGCTTGGTCTTGGCCACAAAACGCCTGCCACCGCCCCGGGTGCTTAGCTGTTAATGATAATGCTGCTAATGTCATGAACTGCGTTATCGACAGAAAGCCGGCAAAAAGCAAACACAGGCTGGACCCTTCGCATCTGCTCTTCAGGACCCTGCTTCTGTGGATCTAGACATGGGCCGCAGTTTCCTGGCGAGTTGGGTAGGTGCTAATGATTGCTATGCTGCTAATGTCACTCTGTCGCCAGCTGAAAGGCGCTTGCAAGCTATCTTTTTTTTTCCACTGGAGGTCCTCGACTTTACACGAGTCCGGCAGCTTCGAGCGCCGCTTGCAGCACGCGTGCCAGGAGCGGGATAGGGATGCTGTTGCCTGCCAGTTGCCTAATCTGGCGCTCGGTTGCCAAGCCGGCCGGAATCCTGCACATGTCCACGCCCTGGAGCCTGCACACTTCTGCGCTGGTCATTTGCCTTTGGAGCCAGGACAACCAGAAGCCGCCAGCGGCTGCTCTGGCCTGTGTAAGGCACGGGGAGTAGCCTTCGTTCCAGTGCGGCTCCGAGCCGTGCATGTTGATGACTAGCTCCTGCTCCAAGGGATCGCGACCCTCTTCTAGTATTTTCTCATAGACGGCCATGACATTGCGACGGCAGGTCGCACTGCTGGGCAGCCGTCCCGGGAAGTCTTCAAGCGCAGGCTCCGTGTCAGCATCGATCACACTGCTCAAGCGTAGCACGGGGACCTGACGACCGGAACTCAGCAGAAAAATGTAGACCTTCTACACATGATCAGCCGATGCACAAGTAAAAGCCAAGGCGCTCGTGCGGGCCACGACATCTCAGCAACAGCATGTTGCCTGCAAATGCACACCACGAAGGTCCTCTCTCGATTCTGCGGCAAGTAGCCATGAAAGCGACAATTCA